AAATTTTCAAAGTTAAGTAGGTTTTCAAAAGGGCCATGCATCGTGCTGAAATCAATCAATAATGTAGACTACCAAATCCAGAAGGATAGGCGACCCAAGGAAAGGTATTCTTATTAATTCTCTTTGGAAATATGTTGGTGAGTAAATAGCCAACTGGGTAACTCTGTTGACGAATTTGTGAATGAAAAGTCAGCCTGTAGAGGAGTCAAAGTTCCTGTCGAGATCACTTCCAATGGATCATCAAGGATGGAGTTGCCAGGAGATTCACTCAATCACCTACCTAGGAAGAACTCCCCTAATGGCAGAATAGCCAGTGATGGCTTTGGAAGAGAAAACTACCAAAGACGATGTGAATAAATAGTTTTGTGTAGTATTATATTTCATTATTGGGATTGTTCAAAGGACTTTACAATCCAGGAAGGGGCAATGTTGTGGGCTGTAATTTCAGTGTATTAATTCAGATGTTAGCCATAACACACATGACGTTAAGGTCAAGTATCTTTGGGAAGTATTTAGAAAGAAGGCTAGATCATAAATACTAGAATCATTGTTTTGCTTTCAGTGAAAAGGAATAATGAATGAGCATTGAGTAGTCAGTTTAGTTCGGTGAAGTATTTAGTTTTAGTGAAGTATTTGCACCAGTGCTAGTGATCGCGTATATTCAATGATTCGATCGATTGATTAGCTGTGAAACTGTACAAGTTATTTTTACGTCAGTCCTTAGTAATGCTAGCGAAATATTTCCGTTTGAACGTCTATTGTTATTTCACTTTTAGTTCTACAACAAGTTACAACAGTGTACAAGTGGAGGCGATTTGTAGAAACGTCAAGGAAGAAATAAATTAATTTCTTGTTATTACATGGATTGGACTTCGAATTATTTTCATAAATTGATTTAAAAAGAACCAGCACAACAAAATATTAACATTACAACAATATTGTTACGTCTTTGGTCGTTTGTTAATTTCCCGTATAATTTCTTTCGGATGAAACTTTACCAACAGAAATCCTTTCTTAAATAAAACTAGTCTATTCTTTCTCAATACAACTTTGCAATACACTTACTTTCCAGTCACTTTAATTTAAACACACGCTATAAGTCACAACGATTCACGTACTTTACTTACAGTCACTACCACGCTTGACGCAATTGTCCGTCTCTATCTCTGCTTCTCTGCAATTATCTATGCCATCACTTCTTGCCGTTTTATATATACAAAAATAGAGGGCGTGTAGAAAGACTAGAGTTGCCAAGAACAGATGTGACCCTTCTAGAATCTCAGACGGGTTACCAGCGTCACGTGACTTCTGCTGTCGTAACACTGCCCCTTCCTTAGTATTGTTCGTCCTGAGC